CAGAGGCTATGTGACCATTGTAGGCCTGAACTCAGAAGTCCTAGAATGTCACTTCTGCTGTATTGTCTTGGTCAAAGCAAGTCTCATGGTCAGACCAGATACAATTTACTGCCCTCTCTTGATGAGAGAAATGGTACATGCATATAGATATGCAAAAATTGCTGGTGCCTGCAGTGGGTTGCATGGTAACCCCAAAAAGATATGTGCCTGTCCTAATTCCTAGAACCTATGCATGCTACCTTAGAAAAAGCGTCTTTGCAGATGTCATTAAGTTAAGGATCTTGAAATGAGGATGTTATCCTGTATTTACCAGATGGGCCCTAATCTAATGTTAATGTTCTTATAAGAGATACAGACAGAAGAAGAAAAAAACGTGTGAAGATTGAGGCAGATGTAGTCACAAGCCGAGGAATGCTGGCAGCCACCGGAACTGGAAGAAACAAGGAACAGAATCTTTCCTAGAGCCTCTGAAGGAAGCACAGCCCCACTGATATATTGATTTTAGAATTCTGTCCTTCCACCTGTGAAGGAGTCAATTTCAGTTGTTTTAAACCACTGATTTTGTGGTACTTGCTTATGGCAGTTATAGGAAACTGAGACAACAGCTATGTTTGATCTGAACCTAATATATTATGTTTATAATATTTTTAATGTTCAGATAGTCAACATAAAGAAGCTTTCCAAAAATTTTTGCTTCAATGTATGCAGATCAGATACATATTATTTCTTTTTTAAGAAAGATTTTATTTTGAAAAATAGATTTTGAATGGAATGACTTTATAAGTCAATGAATGTAAGAAAAATAATTTTCATTTCATTAATAATAAATACACGTGCCTTGGTTTTATGTGTTGTGTGAGTGAGAGATCTCTGTTGTGCTTTTTCTTAGAAGTAGCTAGATTCCTTGATGAAGAGAGGCGCGGCGTGCCTGCGTGACTCATTTACCTTAAGTTGAATTTGCGCTGAGGAGGCCCCATCGCGTCCAATAGGCAGCCAGCACGGGGAGTGTGAAGCTGTGGAAATGAGGAATCTCGGTGGGAGGCAAAGCAGCAGTCCGTAAGTAGCCTGGGACAGCAGGAGTAGAGTGTAGTAGGGTAGTGTGCAAAGTGATAGGCAAATAGAGGCTGAGAGGCGCGCAGGAAGGGAGGCGGAACATGCGCAGTGCCTTGCGACTGATGCCACTTGCCTCCTGTTGTCCCACTGTGTGTTCCTAATAAATAACTGTGGAATGTGCTGGGAATGCAACACAGGGATGAAATGGAGGGCTCTGTTCTAGGTCTCCCCCAACCCCCCAGAGAAGAGTGGCCTCAACGCTTTGCAAATAATAAGCTTAGCTGTTATAAAACCTCAGGAAGGCTGCTTCCAGAATGAGATCCACCGTGCAGATGAGACTCCCACTCTGCCCCCTGGCAGTGGGACTGCTCACAGTGAGTCCTAGCTTCTGCGGTCGCGGCGCGCGGGCGAGCGCAGGGAGAGAGGAGCGCGGTCAGCGGGAGAGCGTGTGGCGGGGGAGGGCTCTGCTTCATTCTGGATCGATCACAAGTTTGGGTGGTGTGTGGGTAGGACCAGGGTGGCGCAGTGAGGCGTGTTCCCATAGTAAGTAGCTAAAACAAGCATGTTGACTTCAGCAAGTCTGTGTTCAGAATTCAGGCACGTGCTCAGTGAAGGGAAGCCCATTTCGCGCAATGTGTGGTTGTTGGCTGGAGGAATCCGTCTGATAGCTTGGCCCCGTGTCGGCTTTCTCAGCTGTGACTGAAATGGCTGGGGGCTGGCTGGGGCCTCTCTACTGCACCATCGTAGGCTCCTGTCGCCTCCAGGCGCGCGGGGAGCATCAATTCATTGGCATATGGCTGCGCGCGAGAAAACAGGAGAGCGATATAACCTTGTGAACTGTTCTGCTCAAAAAATCCCAGAATATCATTCGCTGCATTCAGTTGTCAGAAGAACAAATCACAAGTCCCGAGCAGGATTGAAGGTATAGGTACAGAGACCCTAGCCGTCCTTGGTCGAGAGAAGTGGCACGATGCACGACAAGATGTTAGTGCATACTTGCAGCGGTAAAGCTACGCACAGTCCTGCCCTCTGCCACAAAATTCACGTTTATTTCCACATGCAGAACTCGAGGTCAAACGTCCTCCAAAGGATGTCCCAGAAGTCAAGACGAAGTTGTAACCATGTATATCTGGCCCGATATTTCTTGACTCTGCATGGGATCATGACAGATGTGTATGAGTTCTCATAATGCAGCTCCTTTTGATATGGGGGACTATGAGCAAAAATGCAAGCTGATGCTGTGCTCCATCCCATATAGCAATGCTGAAGCAGAAACAAGAGATAACCTCAGTAGACACGGTGCTTTAAAGGGGAGACAAGAGGCCTGATTTTAAATCTTGTAACTCACTGTTGATGTCTTGATCTTTGACCATTAAGGCCCTGTTTTATTGGACAATGTCCTGGATTTGATCTTTTCCTGGGGCTCTTCTGTACTTTCAGACATTTTTCCTACCTGAAGAATCTGGGAAGGAGAAACTGCTTAATTTTCCAGTCAGAACAAATTCGCGTGTTGGAAATATTTTCTCTAAGTTCAGCTGAAAACGGAAGTAAGTTCCGCTCTATAGTTATATAATCAGTTTTTGCAAGTACCTGTATGATAATATAGTACGAAGAAAAGTGCCTTGGCCACTTTAAACTTCTGCCTGGAAATCTGCTTGTAAACCAGGATCCCACATAAGCTTTAGAGTACTGTTTGTGAGTGGGATAGGCCTATCACGGGTGAAGTTGTTGGCAGAATCTTTTCCGTCCGGACGCGGTTGAGTATTATTGGGTCGGTCGTCGCGTAGCCTCAGGAATAATAGTTCTCGTCGGACTGGTCTTGGGTGGATGCTCCGGAGTGCGAGGGGTGTGGCTTGGGGTGGGTGTGGGGGGATCGGTGTCGCCGGTAGTCGCGGAGCGGGGGTGCTGAGCGGCTGGCGTCTGGGCCGAGTGTCCGCTCCAGGTTGCGGTCGAGTTCCGGGTGCAGTTTTCTCTGCTTGTATGGTGGTCTCGACGTGTGTCGGCGAGAGAGTGTAAGTGTGTCTTTTAGTATCTAGAAGCTGTGGGTGCGAAGCCAGGCGCGGAGATGGCTCATAGGCCTGTGAGAGGCGTGAGGCATGGCGCTCTGGGAGCCGAAGGTGGAGGATTGCAGGTCAGAGAGTTCACAACCCAGCCGAGCAAGAGCGAGAGATACCATCGTCTGCTACTAAAGAATAGAAAGAAATTAATGCCAACTAAAAATATATAGAGAGAAAAAATGTAGCTGGGCATTAGTGACACAGCGCCTATAGTTCCCAGGCTACTTGGGAGGCTGAGGCAAAAGATTGCTGAGCCCAGGAGCTCGAGGTTGCTGTGAGCTAGTTGACACCACAGCATCTAGCCGGGCAACAGGAGTGAGACTTTGTCTCAAGAAAAAAAAAAAAAAGAAGAAGAGAGCTCTGTCTCAAAAAAAAAAAAAGAAAAGAAAAGAAATCCACAGAAACACAATATTAAGCAGGAAAGGGAATTTAAAAACAAAAACCAAAACAATTCTTGAAAATAATAGATTGGTATAATCAAATTAGGTGAGTTCCAGTGATTACTGAAAAATAAAACACCTGGATGCAATAAATCTTAAAGCATTTAAGCATGTGATAAAGCACAGAGAGATGGGGAAAATGTGTAAATTTGAATTCTCGTCTAATTTGAAGTAAATTGAACAAAAATAGGATTCACATAAAATACTCTTGGCTTCCGGGGCAGAAATGAGTATATCAACACCACAGGCTATGGCAACGTAGTACATAGTAACCCATTATGGATAACCAATTAAAGGGCTTGATTATCAAATGTAAGACAATGTAAAGCAGCACTCTTGAAACTGGAGTCTGTGTACTACAGAATGCATGCAGACTTGCCCTGAGACCTGGAGTGGGTGCTTTAACAGATCCAGATCTTCACCCTCCATATGTCCTCTTTCCTAAAATGCACCGGCCTACGGATGTCCCTCTGGTAGTTTCTTCTCCCACTTCTCACTACTATCACCTTTCTCCCACTGTACCCAAGAAAATCTTACCCTTCTTGAATCCAACCATTATGCATTTTCCCAGAATTCAAAAACCTGTCCTCAAACTAAAGGGATGACTTAAAATATGACATATTGACAGAGAAAAAGAAAAAGTTTACCAGTAAGAAGTATTGAAGACCCAGGTGCCTTATTTCATCCAAGTGATAAACTTATGAAATCATTTTTTGCATCAAAGATTTTTATCTATTTATCACAGAATTAGAATATTTAATTGTGATAAACATGCTGAGAAGTTCCAATCAGTTAAGAAGTGGGTTCTCGCTGCATGTGTACGATTCTCAGTGCTGAGAATGAGCTCGGTGGTTTGTGTCATTACCCCAGGTCATGGCCTACATCTCAGTTGCATCTTTGCATAGTTTTGAGGAAGAAGAGATAAAATGTCCATGTTTACTTGCATCAATGTTTTCCAAAAAGATTATTACACAACAGAAATCATCTTTATTTTTTTATATAGATGCAAATCTCCTACTTACTGTCACTCAGTCATTCTGTTTGTTTATTCATCTATTTAACATTGCTGTGCTGTATGTAATGTACTTAACAGCAATCTTTAATTCACTTTTTGTAAACTCTACAATTATTAGAGATTCAATCTTTTCTTTTCTTTGCTGTTAATTCCCAACAGAGTAAACTGCACTCTTTAAAACAGAACATTTACTTAGGTATGGATATATGACAAAATATTCTCAAAATGCAACCTAGGATATACCCTGAACTTTAGAAAATCATCTTTATTTAATTAGGATTAGTTCCTTCCTCTCAGACGTGATATTTTAATACTGTCAAATGTGTAATCATGAACTTAATAATTTTTGACCATGAAATGAAATTACTAAGCAATCTATATATGTAATAATTCTCAAGAGCCTGTCTTTAAAACCATCTGTCATGCCTTTTTAAGGCCCCTTCAAGTCACCCAAGAATATTGAAGTTGGCATAAAATGGGTCTTTGCTCATGGATGAAGGAAAAGATTCTTGCAATTTCCAGTTTTATGAGGTTGTTTCTACCAGCTTTTGTCTAAATCCAGCTCCAAAACCAACATGGCTCTGTAAGAAAGTATAAGAGGTATAATAAACTGTCAATTGGCAAGTCTTGATATAGTTTTTATGGCATATTTACCAGAAACTGAAAGGTTCTTAGTTTGCCTGGTAAACTACTAGATTACAGTCTCAGCATCGCATCCAGTTTAGCATCCATCCTAAATATTTTCATATTTTAGATAAATATTACTACCAGCATTTGCATTAAAGTCAGCTGGAATGGGCTTGGTAGACCTTCCTTTATACTTCTACCTTTTGAGAGGCATGTGCAGTGAAGACAGCCATCACTTTAACATGTGGTTAAACCTGAACGATGACGGGCAATAACCCATTCTCTCTTTTACTGACCCTTTTCAGATTCTATAAAATTAACACTTCCCTGTCAAAGACAGCATGCAGGGTATTTCCTGACAAAGCAATGTGTTCCAGGACAAAAGTGGTTTAGGGACAGCTAACTCCTTATAGTCTCAGGAGATGGTTAATGTTTCTGCTGTCCCCAGCTGACCACCCAGTTTTCCAGATAGTTGTCCCATGACCTGTGCCATGGCCTGCGGGATGCATGAAGCAAGGTCAGTGGCAAACACGGTATCTTAGCTTGGGCTGTCATAACAAAATACCATAGACTGGGTGGCTTAGATGACAAAAATTGATTTCTCATAGTTCTTAGAGGCTGAGAAGTGCAAGGTTCCAGCTGATTCCATTTTTGGTGGGGGCTTTCTTCCTGCTCATGGCCACCTTTTTTCTGCATTCTCACGTGGCCTTTGTTTTATGTTTGTGTGGAGTGAGAGATCTCTGTTGTCTTTTCTGAAAGTATACTAATTCTCTTGGATGAAAGCCCTGTCCTTGTGACCTCATTTAACCTTAATTAATTCCTTAGAGGCCCCATCTCCAAATACAGCCACACTGGGGGATTAAGGCTTTAATATATGAACTCGTGGGGGAGGACAAACACTCAGTCCATAATACCTGGGAAAGGATAATTAGGTATATGTCAAATATATGCAAAAATAGAGGCTGAGGAGTCCTGCATAAATGATTTGCTGAACAGTTATCCAGGTGGCCTTGCACTGATCCACTTTTCCCCCCTTTCTCACTTGTAGTTCCTAAGAATAACTGTGGAATGTGCTGGGAATGCAACACGTAGACATGGAGGGCTCTGTTCTAGTCTCCCACAACCCCCCAGAAAGGAGTGTCCTTCAACGCTTTGGCAAAGTGAATTAAGTTAGCTTGGGTTATAAAACCCAGGGAAGGCTGCTTTCCAGGAAATGAGACACGTGCAGATGAGACTCCCATCTGCCCCCTGCAGTGGGGGACTGGCTCACAATGAGTCCTAGGCTTCTGCTGTCCCTCGCTGCTTATCTGAAAGTAATAAGCCTGCTTCACGTAACTTGGGTGCGAATGTTCTCTCTCACCGGACTCACACAAATTGGTAACCAGTGCGCAGTGAGCTGCTTCCCATAATTAGCTTAAAACAAGCATTTGACTCTCACAATTCTGTTGTTCAGGAATTCAGGCAGTGCTCAGAAGGGGAGGCTCATTTCCGCAATGTGTGGTGTTGGCTGGAGAATCCGTGATAGCTTTGCCCACGTGTCCGATTTCTCAGCTGTTGACTGAAATGGCTGGGGGCTGGCTGGCCTCTCTATCTTGCCATTCATAGGCTCCTGTCCTCTAGGGCCTCTCTTTACATCAATTCTTCATATGGCTGCTGGTTTCCCCTCTGAGTGAAAACAGAAGCTAAATAACCTTTGAATGTCTGGGCTCAAAAATCCCAGAATATCATTTCTGCTGCATTCAGTTTGTCAGAACAAATCACAAGTCCAGTGCAGATTCAAGGTATAGGTACAGAGACCTACCTCCTTGGTCAGAGAAGTGGCACATGCACGACAAATTGTTATTGGCCATACTTGCAGGTAATCTACCACAGTCTGCCCTCTGGCCACAAAACTTCACGTTTATTTCACATGCGGAACTATAGTCAACTCCTCCAAAGATTCCCAAAGTCTCAACAAGTTGTAACATTATATTCTGTGCCCAGTATTTCTTGATCTGCATTGGGATCATACAGATGTGTATGAGGTTTCATAAGTGCAGCTCCTTTTGATATGGGGGACTATGAAGCAAAAATGCAAGCTATCTGTGCCTCCATGCCCAATAATACAATGTGAAGGCAGAAACAAGATAACCTCAGTAGACACTTGCATTTAAAAGGGGGAGAAACGAGGCACTGATTTAAATCTTGTAACTACACTGTTGATTTGATCTTTACCTTAAGGCCCTGTTTTATTGACAATGTCCTGGATTTGATCTTTTCCCTGGGGCTCTTTCTTACTTTCAGAACATTTTTCTACCTGAAGAATCTGGGAAAGAGAAAATGCTTAATTTTCCAACTCAGCAAGTCCTGGTTGGAAATATTTTCTCTAAATTCTACTTGAAAACGGAATAGTTCCCTCTATAGTTAATATCAGTTTTGCAATACCTTATGATATATAGGTAGAAGAAGTCCATTGGCACATTTAAACTTCTGCCTGGAAATCTGCTTAACCAGATCCACAAATGCTTTAAGTACATTTTATATACCACACATGATAGTTTTTCCAAATCTTTCCCCACTACTTAATATTGGGCATTCTTCTCTAGCCTCAAATAATAATTTCCTCACTGCTCTTCTAATCTCCATGATTCTAATCTCCTTGTTGTTCCTCCAGTTTTTACATGCAGTCCAGGGGTTGGCTGAGCCTCTCTCCATATCCCTTCATGGTCTGTCCATCCTTCAGAGTTTTTCTCTCTGTATGTGGCCACTTTCTCCAAGAGAGTAAGTGGACTTCTTTATATAGAAGCTGATCAAGGCCAGGCATGATGGCTCACACCTGTAATCCTAGCACTCTGGGAGGCCAAGGTGGGAGGATCACTCAAGGTCAGGAGTTCAAACCCAGCCTGAGCAAGAGCGAGATCCCGTCTCTACTAAAAATAGAAAGAAATTGATTGGCCAACTAAAAATATATAGAGAAAAAATTAGCTGGGCATAGTGACACACGCCTATAGTTCCAGCTACTTGGGAGGCTGAGGCAAAAGGATTGCTTGAGCCCAGGAGCTCGAGGTTGCTGTGAGCTAGGCTGACACCACAGCACTCTAGCCTGGGCAACAGAGTGAGATTTTATCTCAAGAAAAAAAAAAAAAAAAGAAGCTGATCAAAAGCAGAGGCTATGTGACCATTGTAGGCCTGAACTCAGAAGTCCTAGAATGTCACTTCTGCTGTATTGTCTTGGTCAAAGCAAGTCTCATGGTCAGACCAGATACAATTTACTGCCCTCTCTTGATGAGAGAAATGGTACATGCATATAGATATGCAGAAATTGCTGGTGCCTGCAGTGGTTGCATGGAACCCCAAAAAGATATGTGCCTGTCCTAATTCCTAGAACCTATGCATGTTACCTTAGAAAAAGCGTCTTTGCAGATGTCATTAAGTTAAGGATCTTGAAATGAGGATGTTATCCTGTATTTACCAGATGGGCCCTAATCTAATGTTAAATGTTCTTATAAGAGATACAGACAGAAGAAGAAAAAAACGGTGTGAAGATTGAGGCAGATGTAGTCACAAGCCAAGGAATGCTGGCAGCCACCAGAACTGGAAGAAACAAGGAACAGAATCTTTCCTAGAGCCTCTGAAGGAAGCACAGCCCACTGATATATTGATTTAGAATTCTGTCCCTTCCACCTATGAAGGAGTCAATTTCAGTTGTTTTAAACCACTGATTTTGTGGTACTTGCTTATGGCAGTTATAGGAAACTGAGCTATGTTTGATCTGAACCTAATATATTATGTTATATATATTTTAATGTTCAGATAGTCAACATAAAGAAGCTATCCAAAAATTTTTGCTTCAATGTATGCAGATCAGATACATCTTATTTCTTTTTTAAGAAAGATTTTATTTTGAAAAATAGATTTTGAATGGAATGACTTTATAAGTCAATGAATGTAAGAAAAATAATTTTCATTTCATTAATAATAAATTTTTTAAAATTATAAATGTCCCAATGTAGATTTTAAATTTCATAGTCACCATACAAATAACTTTCTTTTTTTTTTCTTTTTCTTTTTTTTTTTTTTTTTTGAGACAGAGTCTCACTTTGTTGCCCAGGCTAGAGTGAGTGCCGTAGTGTCAGCCTAGCTCACAGCAACCTCAATCTCCTGGGCTCAAGGTGATTCCTTCTGCCTCAGCCTCCAGTAGCTGGACTACAGGCATGAGCCACCATGTCCGGCTAAATTTTTTTGGTATATATATTTTTTAGTGTGGTCAATATTTCTTTCTATTTTGAGTGTAGAGGATGGGCGTCCCGCTCAGGGGTTTTGAACTCCTGACCTTGAGCTATCCGCCCACCTCGACTCCCAGAGTGCTAGGATTACAGGCATGAGCCACCACGCCTGGCTACAAATAACTTTCTAATACATTGCTTTCTGCAGTGATGGAAATATCTTATATCTGTCCTGTCCTATGTTATAGCCACTAGAAACATGTGGATATGGTTTATGTGACTGAGGCTTGAATTTTAAATTTTATTTCAATTAATTTAAACTTAGCCAAATGTGACTAGTGGCTACTATATTGGACAAGGCAGGTCTGACAAAACCTTTTACAATTTAGGCAGTATATAATTCTTTTCTTTCAACAGAATTGGAAAGGAACATAATTGTGTTGCCCACTGATAGATCAAATTAGTCATGGCAATAACCCATAGCCGCCTGGCAAGAAACACATGATATACTCACATGTCAAGGAAGGTGATATAGTTTGGATATTTGTCTCCTCCAAATCCCTTGTTGGAAATTTGATCCCCAGTGTTAGAAGTGGGACCTAATGGAAGGTGTCTGTCCCGGTCATGAGGGTGGATTCCCTCATGAATGGTTTGGTGCCAGTTTTTGCAGTAATGCGTGAGTTCTCACTCTATTAGTTCCAAGGAAAACTGATTGTTAAAAGTGCCTGGCACCTCCCTCCCTTCTCTCTCTTGCTCTCTCTCTCCCCATGTGACATACCATCTCTGTTTCGCGGTCCACGATGAGTGGAAGCTTCCTCACTAGAAGCAGATGCTGATGCCGTGTTTCTTGTACAGCCTGCAAAATTGTGAGCCAAATAAACCTCTTTTCTTTATAAATTACCCAGCCTCAGGTATTCTTTTAGAGCAATGCAAAATGGACTAAGACAGAAGGTTTTAATAAATGGACTATTTATAAATGTGAGCAGGATGTAAAGAAACCCCATAGGGAGTGCAGTACCCTGGGAATAGTAACAGGAAGGCTGTTACCATCTTTGGGTCCGAAGGGATAAGAAGAGGGAGAGTTTACCAGAACCCAGAAGGAGACAGTCGGTGTAGAAAGAGTTACCTTGAAAGGAGGGGTAATCTTGCAGGCAAGGAGCTGGGAGAATAAATAGCCTTCTCTTCTCTCCCTCTGATCTCCTGCCAAGGGATCCTCATTGGTCAAACCCAGCTGGAAGCCAGAAGGCAAGCACACTGGCACCGTCTAGACAGGTCAGTCTCCAGGCGGAAAGCAAGGGAGAAGAGGATAGCACAGATCTAGAAGGATAAGTAGAAGATATCCAACACACGGAAAATTAAAATCAAACCATTATTTATTATACATGTGTTTTTGGCATCCAACTCATCTGAAATACAAAGAATTGCGTGACATTGCTGTAATTAAACTTTCTGTTCTGCTTACTTATTTATATGAACAATATTTTCCCCATCTGAGCCCTGTCTCATTTGAACAATAAGTAATTCACCCAAAGGTAACATGTACTGAGTGGAAGGGAAACCCCCATTCATTGCAGATGTGTTTCCAAAAAAAATGTGATTAGAAAGGGGAGGTCATGGGCAATGGGTTACGTATATTTACGTAACCTTAACATCTGTACCCCCATAATATGCTGAAATAAAAAATTTATGTATATAAAAATGTTTGATATATTCATGATATTTAAGTCAATGAGGAGTTATAACAATTATAATTACAATTTAATCCAGAGGAAATTTTTCAACAGCAAGAGCATATAGTTGAAGAACTTTAAAACTTAATTTATATATATATTCAGAGAGAGATTATATAGTAATTAATAAAAGACTTAAGCATAAAGATATATTTTATCAGGGTAGGATTATATAGAGGAAGAGAAATGGATATATAAGTTCCAGGAAAAAGAAATAATGTAAAATTTTTGACTTTTCTGAGTTTTTTCACATAAGTATTTTTGTAAATGGATGAAGATGGGCATCAAATTATTATGGTAGGTGAGATATTGGTGAAAATGGCAGAGAATGGAATTCCAAAAATCTGTCCCTACACAAAGGCAATGAATAAACTGACAAAACAGTCGGAATCAACTGTTTTCAGAAGCTTATGACGCCCCGGAGAGCACTTAATCAAGAAAAAGCAGCCAAATCTCTACATATGTCCCAGCAATTCCACTCCTGGGTATATACCCAAGAGAACTGAAAACATACGTTAACATAAAAAATTGTACACAAACGTTCATAGCAGAATTTTAATAGTAAACAAAAGGGGAAACAACCCAAATGTCCATCAACAGATGACTAGATAAACTAAACTTGTTCTATCTATACAATGAGTATTATTCCGCCATAAAAAGGAATGAAGCATTGATACGTGCTACAACATGGATGAACCTTGAAAACATTATGCTGAGTGAAAGAAACCAGTTACAAAAGACCATATATTGTATGCTTCCATTTGTAAGAAATGTCCAGATAGGCAAATCCATAGAGACAGAAAGCAGATTAGTGGTTGCCAGGGGTTAGTGTATCGGGGCAATGGGGAGTGACTGCTTAGTAAGTATGGGGTTTGTTTCCTTTGGGAAGATAAAAATGTTTTGAACTAGATAGAGGTGATGGTTGTTCAATATTGTGAATGTACTAAAAGCCACTAAAATAGTTTAAATGGTGGATTTTGTGTCATGTGAATTTTACCTCAATAAAAAAAAAATGATTAGGCTATTTAGATTCCATTGGATCCATTAATAATGGGATAAAGTTTTACTTGAAAATTTGGTATTTTCAATATCCTTGAAATTGCTATCTTTGTAATGATTTAAACTAGAGCAAAAAAGTTAGATGTTACTTTAAAAATGTGTGGTGGGGTAGGCTGAATCAAATGAGACAGCTGATACTTAACCATTTGCACCTACAAAAATGACAGTTTCAAATGATTCAATCTAATAGTTTTTCAAATCTCCTGGAAGGAACATGAGCAAACAAGTTCAAAGATCACTGATGTAAAGGATCTGAGAAAGAAAGTACATTAGGCATCCTGCTAAGTTGGGGAAAGAGTGAGCTTCGG